ATATATTGAAGAATCCTTGCATTCCTGGAATAAACCCCACTTGATCATGATGTATGATCCTTTTAATGTGCTGTTGGATTCTGTTTGCTAGTATTTTGTTGAAGATTTTTGCATCAATGATCATCAGTGATATTGGCATGTAGTTTTCTTTCTTTGTGACATCCTTGTCTGGTTTTGGTATCAAGGTGATGGTGGCCTCGTAGAATGAGTTTGGGAGTGTTCCTCCCTCTGCTATATTTTGGAAGAGTTTGAGAAGGATAGGTGTTAGTTCTTCTCTAAATGTTTGATAGAATTCGCCTGTGAAGCCATCTGGTCCTGGGCGTTTGTTTGTTGGAAGATTTTTAATCACAGTTTCAATTTCAGTGCTTGTGATTGGTCTGTTTATATTTTCTATTTCTTCCTGATTCAGTCTTGGCAGGTTGTGCATTTCTAAGAATTTGTCCATTTCTTCCAGGTTGTCCATTTTATTGGCATAGAGTTGCTTATAGTAATGTCTCATGATCTTTTGTATTACTGCAGTGTCAGTTGTTACTTCTCCTTTTTCATTTCTAATTCTATTGATTTGAGTCTTCTCCCTTTTTTTCTTGATGAGTCTGGCTAAAGGTTTATCAATTCTGTTTATCTTCTCAAAGAACCAGCTTTTAGTTTTATTGATCTTTGCTATCGTTTCCTTCATTTCTTTTTCATTTATTTCTGACCTGATTTTTATGATTTCTTTCCTTCTGCTAACTTTGGTTTTTTTTTGTTCTTCTTTCTCTAATTGCTTTAGGTGCAAGGTTAGGTTGTTTATTCGATGTTTCCTGCTTCTTAAGGTGGGATTGTATTGCTATAAACTTCCCTCTTAGAACAGTTTTTGCTACATCCCATAGGTTTTGGGTCGTCGTGCTTTCGTTGTCATTTGTTTCTAGGTATTTTTTGATTTCCTCTTTGATTTCTTCAGTGATCACTTCATTATTAAGTAGTGTATTGTTTAGCCTCCATGTGTTTGTAATTTTTATAGATCTTTTCCTGTAATTGATATCTAGTCTCATAGCGTTGTGGTCGGAAAAGATACTTGATACAATTTCCATTTTCTTAAATTTACGAAGGCTTGATTTGTGACCCAAGATATGATCTATCCTGGAGAATGTTCCATGAGCACTTGAGAAAAATGTGTATTCTGTTGTTTTGTGATGGAATGTCCTGTAAATATCAATTAAGTCCATCTTGTTTAATGTATCATTTAAAGCTTGTGTTTCCTTATTTATTTTCATTTTGGATGATCTGTCCATTGGAGAAAGTGGAGTGTTAAAGTCCCCTACTATGAATGTGTTACTGTGGATTTCCCCTTTTATGGCTGTTAGTATTTGCCTTATGTATTGAGGTGCTCCTATGTTGGGTGCATAAGTATTTACAATTGTTATATCTTCTTCTTGGATTGATCCCTTGATCATTATGTAGTGTCCTTCTTTGTCTCTTCTAATAGTCTTTATTTTAAAGTCTATTTTGTCTGATATGAGAATTGCTACTCCAGCTTTCTTTTGGTTTCCATTTGCGTGGAATATCTTTTTCCATCCCCTCACTTTCAGTCTGTATGTGTCTCTAGGTCTGAAGTGGGTCTCCTGTAGACAGCATATATACGGGTCTTGTTTTTCTATCCATTCAGCCAATCTGTGTCTTTTGGTGGGACCATTTAGTCCATATACATTTAAGGTAATTATCGATGTGTATGTTCCTATTCCCATTTTCTTAATTGTTTTGGGTTCGTTATTATAGGTCTTTTCCTTCTCTTGTGTTTCTTGCCTAGAGAAGTTCCTTTAGCAGTTGTTGTAGAGCTGGTTTTGTGGTGTTGAACTCTCTCAGCTTTTGCTTGTCTGTAAAGGTTTTAATTTCTCCATCAAATCTGAATGAGATCCTTGCTGAGTAGAGTAATCTTGGTTGCAGGTTTTTCTCCTTCATCACTTTAAATATGTCCTGCCAGTCCCTTCTGGCTTGCAGAGTTTCTGCTGAAAGATCAGCTGTTAACCTTTGGGGATTCCCTTGTGTGTTATTTGTTGTTTTTCCCTTGCTGCTTTCAATATGTTTTCTTTGTATTTAATTTTTGACAGTTTGATTAGTATGTGTCTTGGCATATTTCTCCTTGGATATATCCTGTATGGGACTCTCTGTGCTTCCTGGACTTGATTAACTATTTCCTTTCCCATATTAGGGAAGTTTTCAACTATAATCTCTTCAAATATTTTCTCAGTCCCTTTTTCTTTTTCTCTTCTTTTTCTCTTCTTCTTCTGGAACCCCTATAATTCGAATGTTTGTGCATTTAATGTTGTCCCAGAGGTCTCTGAGACTGTCCTCAGTTCTTTTCCTTCTTTTTTCTTTATTCTGCTCTGCAGTAGTTATTTCCACTATTTTATCTTCCAGGTCACTTATCCGTTCTTCTGCCTCAGTTATTCTGCTATTGATCCCATCTAGAGTATTTTTAATTTCATTTATTGTGTTGTGCATCATTGCTTGTTTCATCTTTAGTTCTTGTAGGTCCTTGTTAAATGTTTCTTGCATTTTGTCTATTCTGTTTCCAAGATTTTGCATCATCTTTACTCTCATTATTCTGATTTCTTTTTCAGGTAGACTGCCTATTTCCTCTTCATTTGTTAGGTCTGGTGGGTTTTTACCTTGCTCCTTCTTCTGCTGTGTGTTTTTCTGTCTTCTCATTTTGCTTAACTTACTGTGTTTGGGGTCTCCTTTTTGCAGGCTGCAGGTTCGTACTTCCCATTGTTTTGGGTGTCTGTCCCCAGTGGCTAATGTTGGTTCAGTGGGTTGTGTAGGCTTCCTGGTGGAGGGGACTAGTGCCTGTGTTCTGGTGGATGAGGCTGGATCTTGTCTCTCTGGTGGGCAGGTCCACGTCTGGTGGTGTGTTTTGGGGTGTCTGTGGAGTTATTATGATTTTAGGCAGCCTCTCTGCTCATGGGTGGGATTTTATTACTGTCTTGCTAGTTGTTTGGCATAGGGTGTCCAGCACTGTAACTTGCTGGTCATTGAGTGAAGCTGGGTGCTGGTGTTGAGATGGAGATCTCTGGGAGATTTTTGCCGTTTGATATTATGTGGAGCTGGGAGGTCTCTTGAGGACCAGTGTCCTGAAGTTGGCTCTCCCACCTCAGAGGCACAGCACTGACTCCTGGCTGCAGCTCCAAGAGCCTTTCATCCACACGGCTGAGAATAAAAGGGAGAAAAAGTAGAAAGAAAGAGAGAGAGAGAGAGAGAGACAGAGAGAGAGAGGGAGGGAGGGAGGGAAAGGAAGAAAGGAAGGAAGAGGGAAGAAAAGGAAGGAAGAAAGAAGGGAGGGAGGGAGGAAGGCAGGAAGGAAAGAAAAAAAGAAAGAAGATAAAATAAAATACAGTTATTAAAATAAAAAATACTTATTAGGAAGAAACATTTTTTAAAAGAAAAAACAAAATAAACAAAAAACAGACGGATAGAACCCTAGGAAAAATGGTGGAAGCAAAGCTATACAGACAAAATCTCACACAGAAGCATACACATACACACTCACAAAAAGAGAAAAAGGGGAAAAAATCGTAAACCTTGCCCCGAAAGTCCACCTTCTCAATTTGGGATGATCCGTTGTCTATTCAGGTATTCCGCAGATGCAGGTACATCAAGTTGATTGTGGAGCTTTAATCCGCTGCTTCTGAGGCTGCTGGGAGAGATTTCCCTTTCCCTTCTTTGTTTTCACAGCTCCCAGGGGCTCAGCTTTGGATTTGGCCCCGCCTTTGCGTGTAGGTCGCCGAAGGGCGTCTGTTCTTCACTCAGACGGGACAGGGTTAAAGGAGCCGCTGATTCGGGGGCTCTGGCTCACTCAGGCCGGGGGTAGGGAGGGGCACGGAGTGCGGGGCGAGCCTGCGGCGGCAGAGGCCGGCGTGACGTTGCACCAGCCTGAGGCGCGCCGTGCGAGTCTCCCGGGGGAGTTGTCCCTGGATCCCGGGACCCTGGCAGTGGCAGGCTGCACAGGCTCCCTGGAAGGGGGGTGTGGATAGTGACCTGTGCTCGCACACAGGCTTCTTGGTGGCGGCAGCAGCAGCCTTAGCGTCTCATGCCGTCTCTGGGGTCCGCGCTTTTAGCCGCGGCTCGCGCCCGTCTCTGGAGCTCCTTTCAGCGGCGCTCTTAATCCCCTCTCCTCGTGCACCAGGAAACAAAGAGGGAAGAAAAAGTCTCTTGCCTCTTCGGTAGCTCCAGACTTTTCCCCGGACTCCCTCCTGGCCAGCCGTGGTGCACTAACCCCCTGCAGGCTGTGTTCACGCCGCCAACCCCAGTCCTCTCCCTGCGATTCTACCGAAGCCCGAGCCTCAGCTCCCAGCCCCGGCCGCCCCGAAGCCTCTCGGCTGGTGAGTGCCGGTCGGCCCTGATCCTCTGTGCGGGAATCTCTCCGCTTTGCCCTCTGCACCCCTGCGGCTGCGCTCTCCTCCACGGCCCCGAAGCTTTCCCTCTCCGCCACCCGCAGTCTCCACCCGCGAAGGGACTTTCTAGTGTGTGGAAACCTTTCCTCCTTCACAGCTCTGTCCCACTGGTGCAAGTCCCGTCCCTATCTTTTTGTCTCTGTTTATTCTTTTTTCTTTTGCTCTACCCAGGTACGTGGGGACTTTTTTGCCTTTTGGGAGGTCTGAGGTGTTCTGCCAGCGTTCAGTAGGTGTTCTGTAGGAGTTGTTCCATGTGTACATGTATTTCTGGTGTATCTGCTAGTGTTAGAGGGTGTCCTACAGAGGTGGGGGGTGGCTCTGTTTCACCGTGGGGACAAGAACACTGGCAGCAGAAGTTCTGGGAAGTACTCCTTGGCGTGAGCCCTCCAAGAATCTTCTCAGTGTTTTTTTTTATAATGATAAACGCATCGTGAGTGCATCTAAGCAAGGATTTTGTCTTGAATTATCCCTGTCAATCAGGGTTCCTACAATTGCCAGGCACTCACTGAGTTTCATTTTCAGGGTTGTTAGTCAAGACGACTGAAACATGTTCATCTTCCATCTTTTCAGGGAAAAGCATGTTTCATGGGAGGTTTCTACTGGCCCAGGAAGTGGTGAGTAGAGTCATTAACTGAGAATAAAGAAGCAGTAGTTCACAACGTTCTAAAAAGAGACAGCAACAGTTAGGACCAGACACCTCAGCGTTCCCCCAAATGGCAGGACTGACCCTGTGGCCCACAACCTGCACCACAGCCCAGTCTCCTGGTCCCAGCCCACCCACTGGTGAGGAGTCCAGGGCGGCGGGTGTCAGCTGGCTTCCTTGGACCTCATTTGCAGTGAGAGCTGATCCCACCTTCCCTGCTGCAGTTGGATGGGATGCTTTCTTTCCACTTCAGGAAATCGGTGAGTTGGATTTTTCCTGTGAATGGGACGGGAGCCTCCTGAGGATCACTGGTCGAGCACGAGGGTCGCTGCAAGCCGAGGCCCTGGCGTCCCAGCCTGGCTTAGACTTCTGCTCGGACAGTGGCTGGCTGGCCGAGCCCTGTGCCCAGCTGAGTTGAAGGGCCTTGTGGTGGCCAGCAGGACTCAGAGAAGGATAACGGAAAAGTGCCCATCACTTCCTCCGTTGAGTGTGGCGAGGAAACCGAATTTCTCCTGTTGCTCAAGTCAACATCAAAGAAGGGAAATGGTCGGGTATGAGCCTTCTTCCTGCCCCCGCAGTGGGATGCTGCTGGTCGGGAGGGGGGGATACCTCATATGCATAGAGGAGTCCAGAGTCAGACATTTGGACGCCTTCTCCACGGAGGTGAGACAACCTAAGCGACCACCTGGAGACAGAAGAAGGAGGGAAGGAAGGTGTCCCAGTGGGACCCACAGCCATGCCCTCCTGTGCTGGTGGGAGCTAGAGAGAAGAGGGGAGAGTCTGTTTCTTCATAGTCATGGGAAAAGCTTAACTTCTGAGAACAGTCTCCAAGAGACAAAACAGAAGACAACCCAAGGAAGGGCTGTGCTTCCAGAAATGGGGAAGTGGTTCCCACAAGCCCAGCCCTGCCTTATAGAATGATCACCTTTCAACAAAACATAAAACAACAACTGCCTGGAGCCTCTGGAGAGAGACCAAAGGCGCAGAAACTAAAGGGAACCAGGTGCCCGGAAAAGGATGGACAGACGGAGGATGGACAGACGGGCCGAGAGCCAGGTGTTCATGCAGGATCTGGGTACTGAGCATGTGGGTGTTCCCTGCACAGTTCTTTCAGATTTTCTGTATGTTCAAAATTTTTTACAATACAGTATCGGTGACAAAAGTCACTGGAGTGAATTTCACTCCAGCAGTTAAAAAAAAAAAAATCCAAGTTATTACTAAGTGTAGTTTTACTCCAATGTTAATATCATGTATCTAGTTGTAGCCCCATATGTAACACACGTGCAGGGGAACACATCTAATGTGTGAGACTTCATGACAGAATAAAATAATTCATCACTTGTATTTCCTGACTTATTTTCAGTGACTCACAAATGTTTGTCTCCTATATGGGTGCTTTGTAGTCACATAGGTTGATCAGAAGTGGTCCCTTATGTTTCAGTATTTTGAGTCCGCCACCAAGAGCTGGCCAGAAAATTGCCTTTGAGAGATTTTAATCTCTTGCCCCTATTTGTTCAACTAATCATTGTAGATGAACAATTGGGGGGGGGGATGCTGCCAAACACAACAGATTGGAGCGTTTTTCGCTTTGTGCAAGTATTCTGATAGTAGCATCACCAAGCTCTTTCTTCAGTTGTTTATGTATGTAAATGTTTTTATGCTTTTTTAGGGAAGAAGAAGGGAGGTAAAGATTTGAGGCTATTTACTTTGTCTCCCCATATAAGCTATCCTGTTGAGGTAAAAATATATGCTTCTTTTTTTAATTAGAATATTTTCAGTTAAACTTGGTAGATCATTCATTATTGCAGAAGACCTGTTAGCAAAAAGCATTTCATTTCAGTATTTAGAAAATTGAACAACATAGGAAAAGGGCCAAGCCTTCCTTTTCTTTCTGTTTCCTTTATTAAGGTGGACATCTCCAGAGAGATGAGTTCAGAGGAAAACCTTGGTGACAGGAAGTGGTGACCTTACCAAACCTGGCCAAAATGTTGAATGAAGAATGTGAAAAAGTCAGCTGAAGGGAGGGTGAGTTCTCTACACCTGGAGTTTAAAAATAGAAGAGTGTGGATGTAAGAAAAACATACTCAAGGTGGATGTGTTCTGAGAAACCTCCACTCCTTCATACCCACCTGTGGCACAGGTCATCAGAGCCATGAAGCATGCAGGTTAGTGTCCTATTTTCTTTTTTATTGAAGTATAGTTGATGTACAATATTAATAAGTTACAGGTGATTCACAATTTTTAAAGATTATATTCCATTTATAGTTATTATAAAATATTGGCTATATTCCCTACATATATCCTTTTAGCTTATTTTATACATAACAGCTTGTACCTCTGAATCCCCTACCCTATATTACCCCTCTCCCCACTGCTAACCACTTGATTGTTCTCTATATCTGTAAGTCGGCTTCCTTTTTGTTATAGTCACTAGTTTGTTATATTTCTTAGATTCCACATGTAAGTGATATCATTCAGTATTTGTCTTTCTCTGTCTGACTTATTTCACTTAGCATAATCCATCCATCCATGTTGTTGCAAAGGGCAAAATTTCCTTCTTTTTGATGGCTGAGTTGTGACCTATTCTTGAGGTGAAGAACCAGCTAAGTGCCTTTAAGCCCTGGAGAAAGTAGACGGGGGTAAGCAAAAGGCTTTGTTAGTGGCCAAAGCATGAGAGGGGACTGGTCCAGCAGGTGAGATGCTGTCAAAGCAGCCACTTCAACCTTGCAGACTTTAAGTGCCATAAAGGCAGTTTTCTCAAACTTGAACCTCCAAAGATGTTGTTAAAACACGGACTCTGATTCTGGAAGCCAGCGTTTACCTTTACCCTTGTGAGTGCCAACTTAAAAAAAAAAAAAAAAAAGCACAATGTGAGAGTCGTGAGTTAAGTTGTACTGGGGGCAAAATGAGGACTGTAGCCTGGGAGACAGCATCTCAGAGAGCTCTGAGAAATCGCTCCAAAGAGAATGGGGGGAGGGTCAGTATAGATGTGATTTTGGTGAAGGGGGAGTACATGCAGTCAAACACATATCTTTTGGCAGAAGGTTTCTGCTAGTCACGAGGAGCAGACGTCACCATGAAGGATTGCAGTGCTTTTCTAGATACGAGGAGATACAAGAAGTGGGCTCTTAAAAATAGCTCCTGGAAATATCTAACTATCTGAAGACCTGTTGTGCTAGTTTTTTTCAGAGCACAGAGTGCCTCATCTCTGCTCTCCACCCTGAGCTCCTTTCAGGGGGTGTCGAAGGTCAGCAGCCACAGCAACATGTGATTTAACCCTTGTAGAGGTGGATGGCAAGCGCCAATTTGTAGTTGACATGGGGAAGGAAAAATAATGTTTCCCTACCCTCTAGCCTCTTGGCTGACATCCCCTGTAATAAGAGACAGATTAACACAAGGAAAACCAACAGAAGTTGAATAACCTGTATGCTCCCTGCATACATGGGAGACACCCAGGAAAAGTGAGGAACTCCCAGACACGGCCCAGCTGCCATAAATACCATCTCCAGCTAAAGACAAAAGATGTTGGATTTGGGAGAGCGAGTGAAAGGAAGTTGTCAGGAAAAGCACAGGAAACGGGAGTATAGTTGTTATGCAGGTTTAACTCCTGCCTTAATATAAGAGTTGATAAGACTGATAAGAATTTCTAGATTTAGTTCATCCTCCTCTTCCAGGCACAGAGAGGAAGACACCCTTACAGATGGAGATTTCCCTTAATGTAAATGTCTTTTTACAAAAGGGTAACGCCTCAGTTTTCGAAGCCTCTCCAGTGTCTGCTGTTTCTCAAAAATGATCAGCCGAAAAAAATCCTCATGCCAAAGAGGCATATTTTGTGGCGGCAAGTTCTGCCCCCCTCCACCCTCTTAGGGTATTTTTGGCTGGGCCTGACAGCTACATTGACATGAGACAGATCAACAGGAGAAAAGCACGCCAATTTATTCAACACGAGTCTTCCAGGACCCAGAAGCCTTCATAAAGAATGAAGACCCAGAGAAATGGTGACACTCACTTGCTTTTATATTAGGTTGAACAAAGTGGGCAATTGTCGTCCACGATGTGGACGGCTAGAGGAAGTTAAGAATCATTGAACAACTCAAGTTTGTGTAGAGTTCTCTCGGTCTCAACTTCTCATCCCTGACGATGAAAAACGTTACTTTCCTCCTGGTATAAGGAGCACAGCTTTCATAGAGGAATTTAATTTCCTGCTTTTAGGAGAATGCAGAAAGGTAGGAGTGTTTTTTCTTGTACCTGCTGTTTTTCGAGTGCCTTTCACTCAAAATCATCCAAACGCCAGAGCGACGTGTTTCGGGGTGGCGTGTTCTGAACTCCTTCACCATTAGTGGGTCTGAAGTGGGGCTCACAATACGAGGAGTAAGGCCTAAAATTGTGCTAACTGAACGGGATCGAAAGTTAAATATGCATCATTAGTTTTCTCTAGAATATCATGCAAGCTGGGGCAGTTCTATGTACGACTCTCCCGTTTTTAAAGTTCCGTATATATTTTCCAGTGTTATCACAGTTAATTCCTTAAATACCAAATTGCTGAGGACAGATATACGATTGGTATTTTTTGAAACAGGGTCTCTCTGAAGATTTTTATAAAAGAATGATTTATGTTCCTTCATGGAGCATTGTTTCTATGCTATAAATAGTGTTTTACGATATCAAAGTCGATGCAGGGAGGCTTTTGGACTGAGGTGGTTTTAACCCCTTCTTCGCCTACCTAAGCAGACCAAACCCTAAGCGGAGTATTTCCTGCAAATGCCTCAAGAGCAGGAAAAACAACCTAGTCACCAGCAGCCAATCAGGCTTTCCCAAATGGCAGGACCACCTAAGCCACAGCCAATCAAATGATTTCCTTGCTTCTGCATCCTCTCTATAAAATTTTCCGCCCTCAGCTCCTGTCTGGGAAGTAAGTAGTGCTCCGAACCTCTAAGGCTTTGCTGCTGCTCAATTTGAATTGATTTTTGCTCAAATCAATCCTTAAATCTTTCAAAGAGAAAAGTCTTAATCTTCTTGTGTCTGAAATCAAACAGTCCTCCCCACTCCCTATGTCTTTTTGATTACAAGAAAAACGTCTCCATTTGGGCAGAAGGCATTCACAGAACCGATGCAGTGCTTCCCGAAAAGGTTTACATGCCACCTCGTGGATAAGAAAAGAGCCGCATCCAAAGGTAATCTACCATTTTCTGTACAAACAAATGATTTAAAACCTCCAGCATGGTTAACTTTCAAGTTATCAAAAAATTATTTGTAAACCCCGTTAAAAACAAGACAGCAGGCCCCAAATGAGTCGCTTATGCTAAGCCCCACTTCACCAAACCGAGACTCAGTTTCAGCTCTCCCCAGACGGAATCTTCAGCCAGTCTGTCGGAACAGCCCAGTCGGGACTCGTTCAGTCGCCTGCCTGGTCCGCCCCCTGCCATCCTGGCCCCTAAAGGAAGGCGACCTTGACACAACCAATCTGCTTTTTGCTGGTATAACTTTCTCGTCCGGCTTCCTTCTGCCTGTAGTTCCATTTTATACAGCCCCGCAGAGCTCCTTTCTAGCTGCTGGACTCGATGCTGCTGATTCGTGAATCACAGAATAAAGTCAGTAAGATTGAAATTTACTCAGTGAACTTGCTTTTTTACACCCCAAAATTATTTTTTTAAACTGCCACTATTTGGTAGACTCAAAAGAGGGCGCCTCATTGTCAGCGTGAGTTTAGAAAGAGGGGCAGGAAACCTTTCAGAATGCTTACGCCAGTAGCTGCCCACAACTGCCATCTCCCAGCCGGGGGGCTTCCTTGACAAGACACGGGGCTCATTTCTGGATGTGTAAGTTCACGTGCAATAGATTTCTACCACGTTATGTCAATTTTATTGAATTTTCATCTGCTTCCCTAACCACCTTTGGGGGTCATAAAAGGAAGAGGGACCCAAGAAAGGTACAGCCAGGAATGCTCCTCAGATGCCTCTAGTACTGCTGCCATGCACGCTGCTCAGTATTAAGAAAGGAATTGGAACAGAATTTCCCCCTCAAGCAGTTTTTTGAACTAATCAGGGAGAGAAATAAGACAAACTCTGAAATAAAACTGCATAAAAGGCAAATGAAAACCATACCAGAAAAATCCAGGCAATATTTTTCTAGTGTTTAATTGATCTCAAGGAAGGAAAAAGTCCAGATTCACAAAAACCTACGTGTATTGTTTTATTATATACAA